GCATGGTCCATTTCGGTTGCATATCATCACGACAATTTGTTAGGATGGACTTTTGAGAGAAGAGGTTATATATGATTTATTAATATATTATAAGTTCTAATAATATTAATATGAAATCATATGTTTTAATTAGTATTGATCAAGAATTAATTTGGAATTAATTTAGTGATCAAAAGAGACTAATTAAAACTATGGGGACTAATTATGGTAATTAGTTATATTTATATGTGTTGGGCTTATGATCCATGTTGGACCAAGTTTATGTATGGATACATAAAGAGTTGGGCCACATGAACCATGGATCATAAAATCCATGGATATGGGTTTGGGTTATACCCATGACTCTTAGAATTCAACACATATAAATACATATGTTATAACCTAAAAACCACCACTTTTAGTGTGTGTGTGTGTGTGTGTGCATGTTCTTGGAGCTCATGAAGGTTTTAGAGTACATGGAGATTCTCTCTCAAGTCCTAACTTTGTCCTTGATGTGTTGTGACTTCATTTGAGGCTTCCACACTATTGGGGCTAAGTTCTTAAGGCCAAATACATCAAGACCTCCAGGCACACAAAAAGGTATGTTACACTATCTAGTATTTTATGTAGTTTGTATGACAATTGCATGCTAGCTATAGGTTCAATACCTTGGAAATCATTTGCATGTATAATTAGTGAAAACATAGATCCAAGGTATTTAGGGTTGTATGTGCACCATAGGATGTTGTATTATACCAAAACTCACCACTAGGTACATACAAGTATCACACAGACAACTAGTATAAACTATCATGCAAACATTCCTCGGGCTTACCCTGGCATCAGACCTTGGTTCGGAATAACATACACATAACAATCTTCCTCGGGCGCCCTCCAAATAACTTACTAGCATACAATGTCTAGGGCTAACCGTCGGGTCTTCCTACCATACATAAACTAAATGGGTCGGAATTGGTGCCTTAGACCCATTCACACAATGAGGAGACTCACCTCTCAAGCCGACTATCTGCTGAAAATCCGAATGAGAAATCCCTGCCTGCTGTTCCGGTGACTCCTCGGCTACAAATTTCCATAAAGATGCTTAGTCAAAAGCTGATAACTACTCTTAGGGTAGAATGACCATTTTACCCCTGGCTAAAGTCAGCATCCTGGTTAAAGTCTACTTCCGGTCAAATTCAACATCCAGTTGACTTGACTCGCCGAGTTGGTCCACCAACTCGTTGAGTCCCTATGCTTTCATCTGTCCCCAACCCCGAATCTACTTGTCGAGTCTAGCAAAAACTCGACGAGTTCTCCTTCAACCATAACATTGGGACAATCTTCAACCGACTCGCCGAATTCATCCTTGAACTCGTCGAGTTCATATTCATCATATGAGTGTGTCTAGTTTATGACTCGCCGAGTTGTATGAACAACTCGTCGAGGCTGTCTTCATGAGTTGGGAGATTTCCTTGGACTCGCCGAGTTTGTTCATACACTTGTCGAGTCCCATGTTTTCCAGGTCTATAACTACGTCCATTTTGTTGAATCCCCCTTCTAGACTCAACCAGATTCCTTCGTAACAAAAAAGGTTAGGGAACCAATCCCCGACTCACCGAGTCCCATGAACGACTCGATGAGTCCCCCAAATCCCATGTCCATAAACTCGATTTCTAATGAGCTCATCTTATCCAAAGGGTAGATCTATACTCCTAGGATTGATATAACACGTAAAGTTAAGGACTTTACGTCCATGCATGGCCCTTTTTGCTCAAAAGGCCAAAAAAAACCTCTTAAACTTTGCATGGGGAGTTCTAATGGCATAAAGTTTGCACCTTTATGCCTTAACCACCCTAATTACTTTTTGTAACGCCTGTAGAACCGGGCTAGTCAATTTAGAGATAATAGGGGTCGAAAATGACTTTTCTACAAAAGATTATTTAGAATAAATAATCTTAACCAAGTTGTAGAATATGTCTCAAGGGTTCTGTACATATAAAGAGCGTCGAAATCCGAGTTATAACGAAAAAGTTATGACCCGTCGAAGTTTCGCGACGGAACCGGCACGACACCGGGAAGCGTAAATAGTGAATTTATGATAGAGCGAGATTTAGCCTTAGCGATCTAAACTAAAGTCGTAGAATATGTTAAATCGAGAGCGTCCATAAAAAGAACGCCCAAATCTGACTTCGTATGAGGAAGTTATGAATTTTCTAAGATTTGGCTTAACAGTGCACGACCCGAAACTTGATTTTTAGTTCGAGCGGTTTTTGGCTTACGCGACCTAAATGAGAGTTGAATATCTCATTAATAGGAACTCAACGGTAAAAAGATAGACGAAAACAGAGTCCATATGAAGGAGTTACGAATTCTTCGCGGTCATTTAACAGTCTAAACGTCTCCTACTGTTAAATTTGAGATCGGTCCAGAATTAGCCAACGGAGTCTAAATGAAAGTTGTAGATCTTGATTTTACCTACCTTTGAAAAAAAGAATGTCAAAAACGGAGCTCGTATGCGAGAGTTATGATTTTTCTAAGTTTGAAGGCTGATACGCGATAAGGGGTGACGTGACACCACCCGAATTGGAAACATGGCACCACTAGAAGGCTGCCACATGCCCCAACTCGGCGAGTAGGTCCTCCAACTCAGTGAGTCCATCAGTCAGCACCCCTATAAATAGAGGTGCCGGGTCTTGCCATTTCTTCACACCTCTCAAACCTTCTTTCTCTCTCCAATTTCTCTCTCTAAAGCCCCTAACCCCCCTAAAAGCCTAGGTAAGCCCCTTAGCACCCGAAGGAAGCCCCGAGGCTCCCGAAATCCCGAGAAAAGAGCCTTTCGGCTCGGGAACGCTGCTCTGGCGAAGCCCGATTTTCGATAAAACCCGTTGTAAGTGAGTTATGCCTACCCTATCTTTAGTATAGCTTATGTTTCAATATAGTAATGTTATTAGGACCTTATAAGGAGTATTTGGGCTATTATTATGGGTTATATAAGTATTGTTTAATGCTTATATAATAGTAATAATAGCTAGACTATTAGTTAATCGCGGTTAACGTTAAACTAAACCCTAGTGATATTGATACTAGGTTTTGTCGAGGAAAATTATTTTAAGAGCAACGAAGTGCTGTCCGAGTGCCGAGTCACCACCTAATCAAGTGAGTGCATAATCCCTTTCATGAACATGATTTTAATACAAGTATTGATTGAAGTATTAATTATATGTTTATGTGCAAGTTAATTGATGTTGCCTGAAATACGTGTTAAAGAAAATACCTGATTATATATGATGATTTAGGATAAAGAGTAAACCTAAATTAATTATGAAGAATATTAGGTAGTATTTTCCAGACAACAACTATTCAATGGACCCTTAGTAAACAAGTGTAAAATTCACGGACACTTTCATAATACCTGTTGGCTTTGTATGCATAAAAGAATGTAATGGATTCATACCCTTTAAATATTAAAATGTTGAAATTTGATGTATAAATTCACATTACTGGAAAAGGGCTAATGGAATACACCACATAGGCACATATAATATGGTTGTAATAAAAGTCCATGTTATAAGGGGATACTACTAATCAAGGATATGCTACGGTTAGTAGAGGGGATAATGACTTAGGAGGGTAACTACCTCTTATCCGTGTTCACATATTAACAACTTCTTCTTTTTTTGTACATAATAAAGCAATTAACTTGTTTTAACTGTTTAAATTATACCAATATTACCGGCTAATACATGTTTTAACCGGTAACTCAAAGAGAAAATGACTACGGAGGGTAACTACCTCTTATCCGTGTTCACATATTGGCAACTTCTTATTTTTTGTGCATAAGAAAGAAACTAACTTGTTTTAACTGTGTAACATCCCAAAAATCATGACCAAAATTTTCGTTTTTAATATCATACTAAAACCATAATTGTCAAACAATTAATTTAATACTCCAGCATCGGGCCTCGACCGACATCAGGCCCCGCCTAGCACCGAACCCCGCTCGGTATTATACAAATTTGTCTCTCTTAGGCCTCGCCTGTCTCCAGGCCCCGCCCGCTAAACACATACAATCATCTAACATGCTAACACATAAAGAAACATACTCTACTGTATCCATGTCCTAAGAAACATACTCTGATAATAATGAGATACAGAACTTCGTCCGTACTCAGCTAGTTCCAACCAGGGCTTCAGCAGTGCAAGGTGAGTCTCCTCACTGTGTGAATGGGTCGAAGGCCATAATGCCAGCCCATGTAGTCTATGAGTAGGAAGACTCGGGGGTTAGCCATAGGCATTGTTTGCTAGTATGTTATTCCAGACCAAGGTCTGATGTCGGGCGGGTGCCTGAGGAATGTTTTCATGTTAGATTATACTTGTTGTATGTGTGATACTTGTATGTGCCTGGTAAAGAGGTGAGTGTGGGTGAGCTCCCGTATCTCATCACTAGCTGAGTACGAATGATGTTCTGTATCTCATTATTACCAGAGTATGTTTCTTAGGACAGGGATACAATAGAGTATGTTTCTTTATGTATTACCATGTTATAGGATTGTATGTGTTTAGCGGGCGGGCCCCGGAGACAGGCAGGGCCTAAGAGAGATATATCTGTATACCGAGCGGGGCTCGATGCCAGGCGGGGCCCGATGCCGGAGTATTAAATTAATGGTTTGACAATTATGGTTTTAGTATTAAATTAAAAAGAAATTTTTTGGTCATGATTTTTGGGATGTTACACAGTTAAAACAAGTTAGTTGCTTTCTTATGTACAAAAAATAAGAAGTTGCCAATATGTGAACACGGATAAGAGGTAACTACCCTCCTAACTCATTTTCCCTTTGAGTTACCGGTTAAAACAGATATTAGCCAGTAATATTGGTGTAATTTAAATAGTTAAAACAAGTTAGTTACTTTATTATGTACAAAAAAGAAGAAGTTGCTAATATGTAAACACAGATAAGAGGTAGTTACCCTTTTAAATCATTTTCCCGTTAGTAGAGTATCCCATACTAGAAACAGTGAATATGGCTAATTTAATATTATTAGGTACTTAGGTTGAAATTGAATATGGCTTAAAACCTAGATCAAATACAAGCTCATTTTAATCAACAAAACAATTCATGCATTGTGCATTAAAGTGTAAGTTCATAAAGAACAAATTTAGGGTTAACTCTCCGCACTTCGTTGCCAGTTCAATCTCCCATCGAATTAGAGCAAACTGCCTTCAATTTTCATCAAGGTAAACGTTCAATGTACTCGCAATAATATTTCCGTACGATTTGCGTAAGAAACCTTAGTTTTCAGAACAATATGATGATGTTCAGGTAATCCGAAGAGCATGGAAGCGATCTCAAACTTGCCATTGCCTGATGCATTCCTTGAATTTCTCAACGAGAACGGAATCGACCCTTCAATTTATACTGCCACTGATTCTACACCTCGCTATATTAGGTAACTTCCCATATCCCATTTCCTAGGTTCTAACTTTTTCCTATGCAAAATGTTATCTTACTCTTGGAAATTCCTTCATGAAATATGTAGTTTCCTATAAATTTCGTTGAAATTGAGTGTCGCTAGAATCTAAATCCAGTTCACAGAAGTCCAATTACGACTTCTTAAAGTCAAACAAACCACTTCTAAACAAATAATCAAGATTTTTCATTAGTAGAATTCGAACTATACAAGAGCATATATGCAAAATATAAAGATTGACCATCAAATCCATCGATCTTCTCTCGATTTCTTCAGATTAAAGCCTGGATGTGAGGAGCAACTTGAAGCAATCGAAGCTGACATCAAATGTAAGCTAGAGAAAGTCGAATGGTTGCCCAATTTTTATTCTTTACCACCCCACATTCAGATTGCTAGCTCAAAGTCATATCAAGAAGGAAAGGTGATCTTTCACATCATCTTCACTAATTACTACAAAAACGAGTTTCATGACATTGAATACAATTAAAAGATACGTGACCTAAAGAACAAATTGTATTAGTATACTATTGGTTGTAATTTCATGACATTAACCTATCTACCACACATTGTTAAAAACCATATAAATAAATAAAAAACTTTCAATTTCTTCCTATTTGCAAATACATATTATGCATTTGGTAAAAAAAAACTTCAGATATATGGAATTGATGCAGCATCTGGAGCTGCAGTTTCAGCTTTAAACATCTCACCTGGAGACCATGTTCTTGATCTTTGTGCTGCTCCAGGTATACATATATATAACTTATTCTGAGTTGTATTTATGTCTCAAATCTCAATTAGTTTACATAGTTAATTGTTATCTAATCCATTAAAATAATCACATTACTAAATTTGTCACAAGGTGCTAAACTTTGCATGGTGTTAGAACTTCTTGGAAACTCAGGCTCTGTAACTGGTGTTGATGTGGCAAAACATCGGTTAGCTGCTTGTAGAACTTTAGTCCAAAAATATAAACTTGGTGATAATTGTCGCCTCTTTGTAGCTGATGGAGCTTCATTTTCTTTAATCCCAATTCGTGTTCATTCTGATTTTAAATCAGGTAAATTTCTGCCAAAAGAGGCGTATTACATTGGAAATTGGAATTGAAACTGGTGTTCAAGTTTTTGTTGTTTTTAGTGAACAGGGAATTTGGTGTGGAAAAAGATGAGTTTTTGTTCAAAGAGTGGACATCTAGGAGGCCTTGGAAGGAAAGAAAAAGGGCAAATAAGGAAATCAAAAATGGTTCTTTGGAATTAGTTCAAGATCCTGAGTTGATATATTATGGGAGGTGTTCTGGGGTTGTTGGAATGAGTAAGATTGAATTATTTCAAACTGTTTCAAGCCATGAGATTTCACAATATGGTTATGATAAGGTATTGTTTTATTTGTTTTTTGTATTTTTTGGATTGATTGATTTAGTTTTTTTTTTTTAAAATTTGAAATATAAGGTACTTGTGGATGCTGAGTGCACACATGATGGTTCAATTAAACACATACAAAAGTTTGAAAATTGGGGGTGGTCAACCATGGAGAGACGTGTCTTGGATGCAGAGAGAACCGATGATTTGACTGTTCTTCAGGTGGGATTAGGAGGGCATTTATGTCTTTTACACATAGCATTATTATTATTAGAGTTTTGTATCTTTTATTGACATGTTTGACTCAATGCAGTTTCGGCTTTTGACAAATGGTTTTAAACTATTGAGAGTTGGAGGGAACCTTGTTTATAGCACTTGCAGGTATAAAAAAAAATCAATATCTTACTTTGGTTTGACCGAATGTTGACCATCGAGTTTTCTTGTAATTTTTTATGGAATAGTTTAACTCATGCTCAAAATGAAGACGTTGTTGAGAGATTTCTTTCTTTGAATCCATGTGCCGGTAATTTCCCTCATCTTTACTGCATCTGACATGCATTGGACTGAGACCGAGACAGATGCCAACAGAACACAAATTACAATCTTTTGTCCCATCCAAAAAGGCGAAACAAAGTGGGACAGGGACTCGCTCTCGACCTCGCGTCTATCCAAAAGACATAAACGCCCTCCCCATCATCATCATTGAAAATAGCTCTAGAAAGCTTGTCCCATACAGTCTTGTCCCGTGTAACAAACGCAGACTGTGTTTGTTACACAGGACATAACTAGACTATACAAGCTTCCTAGGGCTATTTTCGATAATGAAGATGAGGAGGGCGTTTATGTCTTTTGCATAGACGAGAGATCGAGAGCGAGTCACTGTCTCACTTTGTTTTGCATTTTTGGATGGGACAAAAGATTGTAATTTTTGTTCTGTCGACATCTGTCTGAGTCCCAGTCCAATGTATGTCAGACGCAGTAAAAACTGTTGTATTTTATTTTGCAGAGTTGTTGGTGATCGATGGTTCCGAATCTTGGCCATGCAAGAGTGGAAGGATACCAAAGACTTTGCGTTTTGATCCGTTGACTTCTAGAACAAGTGGCCTTTTTGTTGCCAAGTTCACAAAACTGGCAAAAGATAATATATGATGAAGGGGTTGCAATCTACACTCGCAATTAGTGAGTGATGTTCATCTTGGGTCTTGCAAGTTGTGCCAAGTTTGATGGTGTGCAGTTGATAGTTGTACCACAAGCTTCATATACTTGTACCTTTCCTTGCTTGACCAAAAATTCTCCATGTTGTTCATCAAATTGTAGAGTATAGCTTGAATGACTTTGAAAGGTCAAATTAACAATAGAATTAAGTAGTAAGTTAGTATTTGATATAATGGAGAATCATAATAGCATTTTTCATCCATTTGATTTAGAAAAATGATTTGTTTTGTTCAATGAAATGGAATCGATAGGATCATGATTTCTTTTATTTTGTTAAACTTCATAGCTTAGGCGGTATAAAATATTTTAATTTGTGTAACTTCCGATGACAATTTTTTAAGGGGTAAGAAATAGTAATATTAGTTAGAAAAAAATTATACTATTGGCGCATGTGGATCACCAAAATTCGTTTACTATAAAAACATCTACGCATTTGGTCCCTCTAGTTTCAAAAATTGTCTATCTAGTCCTTTTGGTTTTGGTTGATTCCGTCTGATCATCATCTATAATGGTATGCAAAATTGTTAAGAGGTAAACCCTCCTTGATGAACTTTCAAACACTGGACTTATCGTACACCTTCCTCACGTATTCCCTCATATTCCTTGGAAGAATTGACTATAATGTTAAAATCATTTTTAAATTGTTGCTTCGTTAAACTTGATTATTGGTCAACCCTACTATGAAAAATCCTTCTTCTTTGCAGATGATAACGTTGAAGAAGCTAATAGGTTTTTTTGCTGGATGAGTTATGACGATACAAGGACGACTAGCTTCATCAATTTAATTAAATGTGATTAGATGACAGGGAACAATGAAAAGACGAATATACCCTTGTGTGAAGGACTGATTTGGGCTCAAATAACATCTAAAATTAGACATGACAAGCCCTGTAATTTTTTAAAGCCACAGGACCAAGCGCGTAGACGTTTTCATAGTTATCTTTACCAAACGATTTTTGGCAAACCATATGGATCATTCGTGTAATCTTGCCTAATAGATATATATAGTTTTTTTATCGTAGCATTGTACTTCCATTTTTATATTTTACATTGTATTTTTTATTTTATTTTTCTTGTTAAAACATATTTTACGTCCGTAATTTTTACCGGATGATTGGAGATGGTGACATGGTAGAAGTCGCAACAACTCAACAAGCATTAATATTCTTTTGTTCCATCTTTGAGGAAAAAAAAGAATGAATTTATCCTCTTTGAGGTTGGAGTTTAAACCTTTAGTTATTAAAGTGAAATGAATATCAATAAACTAATCATATACTACATAATATAATTATTTAATATAACTATGTGGTTCGATTTTTGAGGATTGCTTTCCAAAATAAAACCACACCAAACCGATTTGGCTCGGTTTTTGCTAAATTGAAAAACACACCATCAGTTTATGTTTCAATTTCTTTTTTTTTTGTTGGATCGATATGCATAAAGATCACTTTCTCTGCTCTATGTTAACGTACTAAAATAATGTAAAAATAGATCATTGAAATAAGTGTCGTCTTCTTGAGTTGAAGTTAATGGAAAGATAAATACTCAAGCGACTGACTTGAAACTGAAATAAAAGGTCGTTTCAAGAATCTTTTCATCACCTCCTTTGGCTCTTATTGGTTCTCTTCGCGATTCGTTCCCTCTTTTAAATAGAGAGATGTTCTTGTGGCAAAGAAATGGTCATATCCAATAGTAAACTTCGACAATAAGGACCGTTTTACTTGTCTAGATAGCAACATCTAACCTTGTACTTATATGCAATACCGACATAAGTCGGGTAATGCTCACGATGGACTTGCCTTTTCGGCAAAGTACTTGACTTCAAAAACAGCCAACTAATTTAATTCAAGAAATAAGATTTATACAAAAAGAACGAATTTTCTACCCCTCTAACTAGTTATTAGCATCTGAGAGTTTTAATGATTGAATTGTCCGCATCTCTTACAGGTTTCACTGCTCTAACTAGGGTATCCCTTGAAAAAAAGTCAACTAGAAGGCAAAATCTAGTTGGTCAAAAGTGGCACACTAATGTACTTGAGCCTATTTTCTAAGATCGAGAAACGATTTTTATGCTATAAACTAGTTAATTTTTTTTTTAAAAAACTTTACCCTCAAATCCAAACACTCTTCTACATACAAACATTTTTTTTTTATAAATATACTCTTTAATTCCATTTATGTTCATGACGAGACTTGAACCTTTGATCTTAAGGAAGGAGGACAACACTAGAAACCATTTGATATGTTTCACCTCTGTTAATAACACATGATCAGAAACGTGAATGAAAAACATTTTCTTTAAATATCAGTTATCTAACAGTATAACCGACCAACAATATTTTGTGCAAAGAAAACAAGAGAATGTTTTTCTTAAGACTATAACAATGTATTGATTAGTTCAATATCAGTTATCTAACAATATAATTGACGAAAATATCTTGTGCTAATAAAACAAGAAAACAATCCTTCTCGAATCCTGGGAGTTATGTTCCATTTCGTAAGCGAGTGTTTAGTGTGAAGTACTTCCATTCGCCCTCCTCCAATTAGGGACTTCTTGTCTGAATAGTTATCAAGCGCAAGGGAAAAGATATATTTCAATATTTTTTTATTAGTATAGATTCTATTATCTATTTATTTATCATTTTGTTTATATTTATCTCAAAATTTTACTTTAAAAAATATTTAATGTTTACATTTTGATATACAACACAATTATTTAAAATATGTCAATATTTTTTAATCAATATATATTGAATTACTTGATTATTCATCATTTCGTTTTTATTATTTAAAATAATACTTTTAAAAATTTTAATATTTATACTTTTATATGTAATATTTTTTAGAGTAAATTACACGAATGGTCCCTATGGTTTGGGGAAATTTACACGATTGATCCCTAACTTATTATTTAACTCGGAAAATCCTTACTGTTTGATTTTGTTACGCGCTTGGTCCCTAGTATTTGCTTTTGTTACACGCTTGGTCCATGTCTTACCTAAAAAGATTATTATTTAAATAGAGAAAAATGATGCAGTATGTAAGGTAAGATGAGGGAGGGGGTGATGGGAGTGTGTTTATTTAAATAAGTTAAAAAATCAATGACAAAATAATATTTTTAGGTAAAACAAAGACCAAATTCATAACAAAAACAAACAGTAAGAATTTTTCAAGTTAAAAAAATAAGTTAGGGACCAAACATGCAAATTAATTTAAACCATAGGACCATTCGTGTAATTTACTCAGTTTTTTATAATCAACCCAGAAAAGGAAGAGATTAACTATAACCGCTCTACAAAAGTTCTTGGTCACGGCCTCTGGTAAGCTTCGCTGTTTTGATTCAATAGTTCGTTGAAACAGGCAAATCCCAAAATAATTTCTTTGTTGCTTCTTGTCGCAAACCGGAAACGACGAGTGAAGAAATGACTTAGGGTTTCGTTGTTGCAGCTGGTTATTGGTTTTCTTCTCTTTTTGCTTCTTTTTCTTTTTCAAGTCCGAATACCTGCAAGTAAGTATCTCTCTCTCTCTCTCTCTCTCTCTCTCTCTCTCTCTCTCTCCATAAAAAATTTCACTCTATCAATTTGGCAATTTTTCGATTCTTTTGCGGCCGAATAGAGTGGTTGATTGCTGGTTATGAGGAAACGTATCTCCTTAAACCTGTTCGACAAAATGCTCCAATGAATGCTCTATGATTAATTTGCTTATTACAAGCTTAATTTTCTTTGTAATCACTTAGGTTGCGTTTCTATTTTCTCCTTTCATTTCGTAGGTGGAAGTTCGCAACTCATAGTGGTTGATTTTATCAAGCAGTGTCGGTTGTAAATATAAGTCAATTATAAATATGGCGCTTCAGGCATTCCCCAGGCTTCTGCAATTCAAGAGCTGTGATCTCTTTGGAAATGATTCGTTGAGTTTTCCTCCAATTCAGAGTAGAAGTAAGTGAAATTATATCTTGAAACCAAGCATACAAATTCATCTTCAAATATGTTGTTTGAAATCTTTGACAATATCTGTATACTAATTCCATTTTCTATCTATAGCTGTTCATACAAAGCCATGGGTGATTGAAGCAAGAGCTAGAACAAGGGTAGAAAGCCCAAAAGTTCGGAACAGAAGATTGCAGAAAAAGGTAAAATTTTCATCCTCAAACTCTTATTATCACCAAAATAGGATAAAATTCTCTGAGTATTTTTCCTGTTTTTAGCCCTATATTTCCAATTTCATCATTTTCAGTTTTCAAATGACACTGATTTTGTGTTTGGTTTGAGTAGTACAATGGCACACAGAAGAAACCAAGGCTTTCTGTATTCTGTTCAGAAAAACAATTATACGCGATGCTTGTTGATGATCAGAACAAAAAGTGCTTATTTTATGGCAGCACTCTGCAACAATCAGTTCGTACAAACCCTAATTCTACCACCATTGTAAGTTACATAAAAACTAGACAGACTTTCTAGGGCTATTTATAATGATTAGGATGAATAGGGGCATTTATGTCTTTTTCATATACAACATTTTGAGAACCCTTTTTGGTGGGACAAAAGATTGCAATTTGTGTCCCATCAACATTAAACTCTCAGTCCACTGCATGTCAAACACAGTATAAGGTTGTGTATTGTTCTGTTATGTTACAAATGGGCCCACGTAATTTGGGTTTGACAAGATTTTAATTTTTTTAGGAAGTGGCACAACGTGTTGGTGAAGAGCTTGTTAAGGTGTGTAATGATCTTGGAATTGATGAAATTTCATCTTATGATCGTAATGGTTTTTCAAGAGGAGCGAGAATGGAAGCATTTGAGATTGCATTATCTAATCATGGTTTTTTGTTTCGGTAGATTTCCATACCAATTTGAACCTCTTAGAAGTATTGTAAAAAGATCAATCAAAATTTGTACCTTTTTTGGAGCTTTGTATGTCATATATGTGTAAAATCATGTATAAATGGTTGTGATAGATCTAATCGACATCGTATAAAAAGGACATCTCTTCACCTCTAGGACAAATATGTACCCTTGGTGCTATAGTCTTGTTCTTAGTTGTTATCAGTTATTAGGTTTTTTCAACTATTAATCGGAAAATTTTAGCTTAAGCACATTAACTAAACCTCTTTTTGTTGGTTTTGAGTTGTTAAGTGAGTGTGTTTAGAATTGAGTGCCTACTTTTCTCGTTTTTAGTTGTAATTTCAGTCATTTATTAAGGCTAGGTGTTCAAAATTAGTCAAAAACTCAAATAGTCAGAATTATATTTTAAATTTGTAATAAAGAAGTCAAAATAAGTCAACAAAAACTAAAAAAAGTCATAATTAAAGACAAAAAATTCATGAATAGCACTGAAGAAAATTCACAAATACTAGAAAATTCTTTCCATCTCCATCT